CAGCATGCTGCATTCATCTGGCACTGGCTTTAAGTCTGGTCCCTCTTTTCCTGTGGAGAGACAAACAATACCCTCCCCTTGAGTGGGTCAGTGCCCTATTCCCCCACCACACATCTTTTTTCCCCCCTTCTCCCCCACCTTTTTAGTTGGCTACCATATGTACCCCTGGATTTGGTCTGGCCCCTGCCATACTAACAGGACCTCCCCCCAGGAGTGTTTGTATACAGTAGCTTTTTCCCTGTGCCCCTTTTGCATTTACTTTTCTGTTCTTTACTTTTAACATTATATATATATATATATGTATGTATATGTATATGTATATATATATGTATATGTATATAAACTTACCTCAGCAGACTCATGTTATACTTGTCCTTTTGTACTTGGCTTACTTCACTTAGCATAATTTCCTCCAGTTCTTCCCATGCGGCGATATGTTTCATGAGTTCATCACTGCTTTTTAGCGATGCATTGTATGTATGTACCACCATTTTTGTTAATTCATTCATCTACTGATGGAAATTTGGGTTGTTTCCAACTCCTTGCAATTGTGAACTGTGCCACAGTGACCATTGGAGCACAGATGTCTGGCCGTTGATTTGTTTCTTGCCTCTTCTGGGTATATGCCCAGTAGGGGGATTGCTGGGTCATATGGTAGCTCAATTTCCATCTGCTTTAGAATCGCCAAATCAATTTCCATAGTGGCTATATATACCTACTGGTCCACCAGCAGTGGATGAGAGTTCCTATCTCACCACAGCCCCTCCAACACTTGTTGCTTTCTGATTTTTTGAATTGGGCTATCTTTGAGGGTGTTAGGTGGTATCTCATATATGTTTTGATTTGCATTTCTCTTATGGCTAATGATCTGGAACATTTTCTCATATGTTTATTAGCCATTTGTAATTTGTATAATTTTTACGCTTGAGCTTAATATTGCAACCTTTGTGCCAGTCCATCTTGTGGGTCTTTTTTTTCATGGCTGTTCCTCTACTTTAGCAATCATGAAATCCTTTTCTAGAGACTGGACTCCTGATAACTTGGCCAAAGTTTGTGAGAGGAAGTCTTACCATCTGTGATTCTAAGGAGTTATCCTGGCTGTACTTCTTCAAGATAGATTTGTTTGCTCTTTTGCAATTCATGGTACTGTCACTGTTTGCTAGCACTGGTAGTTCAAAGGTATTGATTTTCTTTTATCTTCCTTATTCAATGTCTAGTTTTCATGCGCAAATGAGGGAATTGAAAACATCAAGTTATATGTAACACACTCTTTTTTGACACATTATTTTATGTAACGTGTATGGTATTGGAAGATTATAATGAATGTTTGACTTTCCACATGCATTGTACATTATATTTCTTTTTTTCAGTTTTTGTAAATAAATCACTTTATTGGGGGTCTTACAACTCTGATAACAATCCATACGTCAGTCATATCAAGCATACTGTACATATGTTGCCATCATCATTTTCAAAAAATTTTCTTTCTTTTGAGCCTTTGGTATCAGCTCTTTTTTAAAATCATTTAAAAAAATAATTTTATTGGGGCTCATACAATTCATCACAACCCATACATACGTCAGTTGTGCAAAGCACACTTATACATTCGTTGCCCTCATCATTCTCAAAACCCTCCCCTTCTGCTTGGGCTCCTGGAATCAGCTCCTCATTTTAAAATAATTTTATTATGAGCTCATACAACTCTTATCACAATCCATACATCAATTGCATAAAGCACATTTGTACATCCATTGACTTCATCATTCTCAAAACGTTTGCTCTCCACTTAAGGCGGTGGCATCAGCTCCTCATTTTTGCCCCTCCCTCCCTGCTCCCACCTCTCTCATGAACCCTTGATAATTTATAAATTATTATTTTGTCATATCTTGTACTGTGATGTCTCCCTTCACTCACTTTTCTGTTGTCCATCCTCCAGGGAGGAGGTTATATGTAGATCCTTGTAATCGGTCCTCCTTTCCACCCCACCACCAGCCACTCTCACCACTGGTCCTGAAGGGATCATCCCCCCTGGATTCCCTGTGTTTCCAGTTCCTATCTGTACCAGTGTACATCCTTTGGTCTAGCCAGATTTTTAAGGTAGAATTGGGATCATAATAGTGGGGGGTGGGGGTGGGGGATGAAGCATTTAGGAAGTAGAGGAAAGTTGTATATTTCATCATTGCTACACTGCACCCTGACTGACTTGTCTCCTCCCCGCAACCTGTAAGGGGATGTCCAATTGTCTACAGATGGGCTTTGGGTCTCCACTCCGCACTCCCCCTCATTCACAATGATATGATTTTATGTTGATGATGCCTGATACCTGATCACACAGGCTGGTGTGCTTCTTCCATGTGGGCTTTGTTGCTTCTGAGCTGGATGGCTGCTTGTTTGCCTTCAAGCCTTTAAGACCTCAGACACTGTATCTTTTGATAGCCGGGCACCATCAGCTTTCTTCACCACATTTGCTTAAGCATCCACTTTGTCTAAAGCGATTGTGTCGGCATGGTGAGCAGCTTGGAATGCCAGTTTAATAGAACAAAGTATTCTTGCATTGAGGGAGTACTTGAGTGGAGGCCCATTGTCCATCTGCTACCTTAATACTAAACCTATAAATATATGCACATAGATCTATTTCCACATCCTCATATATAAATATATTCACATATTGTACATTATATTTCTTATTCTGTGGTTTATATTGTGATTTTAAATATATACATTAAATACACATGTAATATTGTACAGTCTGTTTAATTATAATTGAAGAGATGATAGTATATGTCTAAGGCCCCGATTAAATTGGCATGCTACGTATTTAAATGCACAGAGTCTCCTTGACTTTCATTGCCTTATTTTTTTTCCATTTCTACTAAAATTCAGTGTCCTATATAACTCACTCTCACTTCTCATTGCCTTATCTATGAATTATTTTGGAACTGAAAAAATTAGTCATCATCATACCTCCTGTTTTTAGTGATATGTTATATTCTTAGGATCGATCCCTGGTGGTGCAGTGGTTATGAATTGGGCTGCAATCTGCAAGGTTGGCAGTTTGAAACCACCAGTTGGCTTTCTGTGTCTGTAAACAGTTACTGCCTTGGAAACTCACAGGGGTAGTTCTACCCTGTCCTATAGGGTCGCTATGATTTGACATCAACTTGATCGCAGGGAATTTATATTCTTAGCATTGGGGGATTTCACAGAGAGGGAGAGGAAGAGGGAGAAAAGGGAGAGGAAGAAGAAGAGAGGGATATGCTCTCTGTTATTATTGAGGAGATAGGAACATTTCCACACATTGGAAACTCGAATGAATTAAGGATCCTCATCTGCTGTAGGTGTGGTTAGAATCTGGGTTGTCAATTTCTACCTTCTTAGAATTGGCCAAGAAGTAGGAGTCAGGGTGCCTTAGTAATGGCGCGTTCAAAGCTAATGCTTAGAAATTATTTACCTGAAAATGTATGAAATTGGATATTTATAAGCCCATGCTTAGCATTCTCAGCTATATCAGTGATGTTAATGGCATAGGTTAGCTTTTTCATAAGGCAACTTTTGCCCATTGCTTAATGACAAAGAACCTATATTTAGAGACTTGAGGGCACCCTATGGCCAGCCAGGTTCAGTGGGCACACTCATGATCTATAACCTGACTAGAACTCAGATTTCTTGGGAAGTTTAAAGGACTACAGAAGTTAACTTGATATCTATAGACTTGGGGCCCTGTTGGCGTAGTGGTCGTGCATTGTGCTGCTGTCTGCAGGGTTGCCATTTTGAAATCACCAGCTGCTCCACAGGAGAAACACTGGACTTCCCACTCCTGTAAGTCGTGACAGTCTCAGAAACCCACAGGGCGGTTCTGCTCTGTCCTGTCGGGTTGCTATGAGCTTCGACTCAGTAGCAGTGACATTGTGATTTTACAGAATTGGAAAAAGGTTTATGTTTCTTGAGGGAATAGATGTAGGCTATTCTAATGTATCTGGTGACTATTCCCCACCCCCCAGCGCCCCCCCCCCTTAGCCCAAACTATAACTTCACTGTTATAAAAAGAGCCAATTTTTTAGTTTTCAGGTTTTAAGAAAATAACCAGTGAACCTGAAAGCTAGTTTTCTCATTAAAAAGGAAATGTATGTCCATGTGTCCATACACATTTTAGGTTAGCTCTTGGTAGGTTATTTAAATTTGATTTTTTGGTTAATTTTAGACTCTTTTTGATCAGAACAATGCTGCAAAAAAAGAAGAGTCAGAAACTGCAAACAAAAACGATTCTGCTAAGAAGTTGTCTGTTGAAAGAGTGTATCAGAAGAAGACACAACTTGAGCATATTCTCCTTCGTCCTGATACATATATTGGGTCCGTGGAACCATTGACACAGGTAATTATTTGCTAAAATATATTGAAATCCTGATGGCATGTGTATATGTACTTTTTATTATCTTATAAATTGGGGGAGGGTTATTCTTTTTTGGTGCTAATTTACAGTCTTTATGGTCACTAACAAAGGAAAGGGAGATCTAGTACAAGCAGAAAGAAATGCTTTTTTTGTTTGTTTGTTTTCTTTCCAGAAGTAAAAAATATAGAGTAAAATGGGATAGATAGAAATTTATGCCTTATGAAGTTTTTAATGTGGCTTACTTTAATGATAGTACCTTTCACAACTTAACACACACATGCACGCACACAGACACTAATGAGTTATCTTTTCATACTTATTATAGCTTATTGTCAAGGAGTGCTGCAAGCTCAGCAGTTTGAAACCACCAGCTGTTCCATTAGAGAAAGTTGAGGCTTTCTGTTCCTGTAAAGACTCGCAGCCTCTGAAGCCCATAGGGCAGTTCCACTCTGTTCACTAGGGTAGTTTAAGTCAGAATGGACTTGATAGCAGTGAGGTTTTTTTTTTACACACTGTTTTGTAGACTTGGCTTACATATATTATTTCATTTGATATTGACAAATTTGGCAATAGATGATTTATAGCTGAGTAAAATGAAGCTTAGACATTTAAGTAACTTATTCAGATCCCTCAATTAGAGTAAGAACTCGAATTCAAAGCTCGTTGTGTTGACTTCTCTGTCATATTGCACTCCTGATTTTACTCTCTGTATGCTCCATGTATTATGGAAACATACATAGAATGAACTAAAGGAAATAAAAGATGTTTTATGCCTTTGTGTCATATTTAGCTACTATTTCTCAAATTTTGTTGCCTTATGTTAAAGCCAACTTTATAATTTTGTTCAAAATTTCAAGAATTTTGAGGTTATTTAAGTTCAATATGAATACTATGCAATTGGCTTTAACTGAAGTAATTGGTATTTTTCTAAATGTTCATGTAAAACGAATGAGAAAATGTAGCTCTATACTATTATAACTTTTAAGTATTTATGGAGAAAAAAAGTATTTTTACATTTTTGTCTCTGCAGCTCATGTGGGTGTATGATGAAGATGTAGGAATGAATTGTAGAGAGGTTACCTTTGTGCCAGGTTTATACAAGATCTTTGATGAAATTTTGGGTGAGTATTGAAGATTTTTTTTAATGCTATTATAATATCCTTATATTTTAAAAAGTCAACATCTATGCACTTTTTAAAGGCATATCTCTGACTTTTACTTGGGACATAAATATTCTTTAGATAATTTGTACCACTAGTTGTAATATTTTCATATCTCTGGGCTACATTTTGCTTATCTGTAAAATGAAATGTGTTGTATTTCAGCACCCACCTCAAAGATTGTCTGTGGTCCTGTGCAGTCATTTGGGACTTGCCCCTTGGGCACAGGTTAAACATAGAGGTTACAGGCCCTGATCCCTTTATATTCTCTGAGTTCCAGGTGGGGCATGAAAATGTGTGTGTGTGTGTGTGTGTGTGTGTGTTTTCTTGCCAACAAATCGGGTATTTCTGCTGGGCTGCCAAGTTAGGCAAACACTGTTCTGAGTAGTTTCTGCCCTTTCCCATTCACATGATTAATAAGAATGAGGTGTACTCACATTTCTTGATGCTTTGAGATGCTGGCACTTTGAACATATTCTTAACCCAAGACTTTCTAGGGACTATCACTTTGCCATTTCCTCGCTGTCACTTGAGTCTTCTTCCATGCTGTGGGTTGTGTGGATCAAGAAAATGATTTTACTTTGGGTAAAGATTCTTCCTCTTGGCTCTTTTGGAAAAGGATAGAGTAAAACTGTTTACATTCTGAACCTTTCAACTAATTTTCTGCCTGATTTTTTTTGTTGTTGTTGCTATTTTAGGTCACTTGGTGTTTTTCAAGGAAATATTTCTTTTATAATTTGACTGCTAGCCAGTTTCCAGTTATTTTAAGGGGTGGTAAATGAATACAAAATTATTTTCATACCTAGTTGTAGTATGTAGCATTTGGAATTTTAATTAGGAAGTGTGTTAAATATTTTGCACTTGTAATTAAAAAAACTAGTTGGTCTCATTTCATTCTGCTATAAAGTCACTAGTTTGGGGGAGGAGATCAAGAGAAAGGTAGTACCTTGGTACCAAGATAAAATACAATGAAGTAATTTATTTTACTCTTTAGACCTGGATTGGCGTTTTATAAGATGAGAATGTTTACTTTATCTGTTTTACATGATAGCAACACACTGCCTCATTTTGCTTATATTTCTGTTACACAACAATAATCTGTGTGACATAAAATTTTGGATTCTTACTTGGGAAAAATAAAGTTTCCTTAAAAGTTAGCAGTACTTATTTACCTTCATTATTATAAATGTAGATTATAGGTTTCCAAAATAACTTGGCTATTACCCCCTTTTCAGAAAACAAAAACTACTCAGCCACCCCCTTGGCAATTAAAAGCATTTGTACTATACTATAATCCACGAAGAAGTGATTCCACCCCCTGAATCATTCTAGTAGAACCCACTTTGGGAAACACTAATGTAGACAGATGTTTATATGACCCAGTAATGCATATGTGGTTGCTTATGTATATTATTGTTATTATTATTCATCAAAATGTTTAATTTTCTAGTTAATGCAGCTGACAATAAGCAACGAGATAAGAACATGACCTGTATTAAAGTTTCTATTGATCCGTAAGTATATTTTAAAGTAATTTAAAATGTTTATGCTAACTAGGTTGTTTTATTTAGGTAGTAGTCCCTAATTTATGATCATTCTTCAAATGGATAATGTATGGCTAGTGCTCCTTAGATTTCTTGTTTGACACTTTGTGACATTTGCCTCTTTTAAGTAGAGCATCCCACTATTGTATCTGTCCTCTGTCATGTATGACCTTTTCCTCCAAAGTTCTCATACTTCTCTCCATGCTCTGGGGGAGCTCTTGAACACCTTTTCCTATCTCTCTTTAATGTTGTGGATGCTGTTGGGTTTTTAAACTGCAGATGGAGTAATCACTCCATCTTTTCTTTCTGGCACTTCCTTTGATACTCAGGGTTAATTGTTAGTACTAGTTTAATTACATTTTGATCTAACCAGATATGATGACTGGTATTTGAATATTTCCATTATTTATAGCATCACTTTAAAATTAGGTTCTGCTGGTATTATAGATTAAAACCAGGTGTTTAATTGCACCTCTTTTTTTCAGGGGTGGTGAATATTATTTAAAAATAGAAATATAATTATTACATATATTCTTAGTTTTTACAGCCTTGTCTTTTGTCAAATATACTTACCCTTTATACTTTTTAAAATTTAGCATATAAGGATTTTTTTTATTGAAGTGGTACACCTAGCACTTCTGCTATAGTCATCATCTCGTCCTATTAGTAATCTAATTCACATGAGACTTTCTTTTCCTGTAAATATTTATAGTTTTGGAAACCCACAGGGGCAGTTATACCTGCCCTATAGGTTCACTGTGAGTCAGAATGAGCTCAGTGGCATTGGGCTTGGCTTGTTTTAAATGTAAGAATAATGATAAAAATAAATGTTATATTATTTTCCATACTGTGAAATTAATTATCCTTTATGGACATTCTATCATTGCTGTGCTGCTGAGCTTCTTGGTCTCATTCTTCCCTTTCTTGAATCTTTCCTATAATGGATTGTATCTACAGGGTCTCTCAATGAGTCGGCATCGATTCAATGGTAGTGAGGTCTTTAAAAAATATATATGTCTATAATGAGCACATTCTTGAGAATTTATATGGTAAAATGTAGTGGTCACTTTTAAATTACAGCTTGCAAAGAAGTTTAATATTACGGAAATTTTAGCTGTCAAGTTTTCTTCTTGTTTAGGATATTATCGGTTAAATAATACCACTGGAAGTAAAACTTAAGATTCTTAGATGGTTACTTTGATTATTGTTATCTGTAAGGACTGAAAGGATTGTAAGAAATGATGTGTTGTAGCTTAAGGGAAAATTGCTGGAGTGGAGTAGGCCCAGGACAAAAGTCAGCCTAGTTAAGTAAGATGATTATTGGGAGGCCAAGACCTACTGGATCCATCATGCCAGGGCCCAAGGCCATAGGACATAATGGACACACAAAACCCAAACAAACTCACTGTTAATTCTGACTCAAAGCAACCCTATATGACAGGGTGGAATTGCTCCTATGGGTTTCTGAAACTGCAATTTTGTGGGAGTAGAAAGCCCCTTTCTCTCTCCCTTGAAGTGGCTAGTGGTTTCGAACTGCTGACCTTTGAACTGCAGATCTCAGCCCAAGGCTAACCACTACTCTAGGGCTCGTACAAATAGACACAGTCCAGGGGTAAAGACAAGAAGATTAAAACTAGGTATAAAGTAAGTCATTTCAGAAGCAGGGGAGGTAAGGCAGAGAAAGAAACAAACTAGATGCAGAGTCCAAAGAGCATCTCCACTCCTGGCTCTTCTTTTTTGCTGATACTGAGATCCCACCTTCTGCCTCATCTTATTAACCATCACTCACAGCTGAATCATATTACCCGATCTGTGTCTTACCTCACCTACTTTTCCAGACCCATCAGGGAAAACTCCTTTGGTGGGGATAACACAAACTATGACTCAGTCAAACTCAGACTCACTGCCATAGAGATAATTCTGAGTCATAACAGCAGTATGAGACAGAATACAACTACTTTTGTGGGTTTCTGAGACTGTAATACTTATGGGAGCACAAAGCCTCCTCTGTCTCCTGCAGAGCAGCTTTATGGTTTCAAACTGCTGACCTTGCAGGTAGCAGCCCAACACATAACCCACCATGTGACCAGGACTTCACACCACTATGGCTAGAAGAGCCATAAAAAAATGCACTGCATTGCAGATAAATGAATATCAGGTCTAGAAAGCTCTACAGATTAAAATTTTTGTAACATAATAGATAACTTGATTGAGAGTTCTGATCTCATACACATACAGACTTATTGGATGTTGTAGATATAAAATCTTATTTTTATTTTTTTGAAATTGTGCTGACGTTAACCAATTGAAGATTTTCTTGTAGGTGTGTTGATTTTTGTGCCATTCGATGGTTGTGTTTACAATCAATATCTTTTCACTCTGCTTATTTAAATGCATCTGATAGGAAAAACTGCTCACTAATAAGTGTACAAAATTATTAAGAGAGATGAATGAAAATGACATAAAAATCTCCTAGAAGACTAAGAATTCACTGGAGGAAATGAAAAGTGGTTGCTAATTTGGGAAAAGTACATGATATGTTTAAAAGTTATATTTTAGTTTTAGCTTAAAAATTTTATTTCTCCCTGGATGTTTTTTTAAAATAACTTTAATATCTTAGTATAATAACTATTATTTATTAGATTCTGAGAGATTAGATATGTATTTGGGGGTAAATCAATGTGTCCAAGAGTAATTGAGAATCAGATTTGCAAATGGTAGTTCTTTATTTTGTAAGGTCATATCTCAGTGCTGACTATGAAGCTGTGCTTATTTGCAAATTTGACTCAGCTGTATAAAGGTATGTAAGGAGGTAGAGGAGGTAAACTTTTCCACCTACTTGATTGGCTATGTAAAATTGGTGTTGTAAGAGCTTGTACTCAGTTAAAGTAGATGGGTTTGTGACAGAAAAGGAGCTTACAGGAAAATAGACAATGCCTACTTATTTATGAGCATTAACATTAGTTTATAAAATGTTTGATACAATACAAACAATTATAACATTGCAGTCCAAAATGGGACATATTTGAGGATGTCCTTGTCCCAGCTGTTGTGTAGGTCAGTAAGAAATGGCAAGGGCAATAGCTAGTGGCTATGCAGAGCTGTAATATACTATGCAGAAGCAGGAAGATCACAGCTAATACGTGGGAAGAGGAAACTTGATTTCTAGTTGACTCTTCTTGTAAAAACTTCATTGTTACTTCATTGTTCTTATAGCTTTGTAAAGAATTGATAAAGAAAAAAAACCACAACAACTTTGCATTTGTATTTTGCAGATCAGAGTGATCTTAATTTGAATTGTGTGTTCCGGGATAGAAATGTATTTTCCAGTGTTTTCTTGATATATAAACTTAAAAAAATCAGCTCCTTCCATAATGGCTAGTGGCTGTGATCTTGATTATTCTGGATGACTTTTCTTATTATACAACTTAATCAATGTATCATTAAATTATTTTAAGGTCTAATTTTGCTTCTCTATTTACAGTGAATCTAACATTATAAGCATTTGGAATAATGGCAAAGGCATTCCAGTAGTAGAACATAAAGTAGAGAAAGTATTTGTTCCTGCTTTAATTTTTGGACAACTTTTAACATCCAGTAATTATGATGATGAAGAGAAGAAAGTTACAGGTAAAGTATAAATGATAGGAATTTTGATGAAAAATACTGTTAATATAAAATCTGAAACCTTTTTCCATGTAAAAATAGAAAAGGAAACCTGTCCAGTTTTTTTGTGGTGATAAAATTCTTTCAGAATTAATATTTGTAAAGCACTATTCTTAGATATGAGTGTGCTTCAAAAAGTTTATGGAAAAATCAAATTGAAAGATGATGGAATTTTTCCTTGAACTTTTTGAAGCCCTTAATACTTGTGCACTAATATTCATTGAATTCACAATTGCTCAAAGGTGAAGACATCTCAAGTGCCCATGAAGAGTAGATAAATCAAATGTGGTATTAGTACCATGGAATATTATTCAGCCATAAAAAGGGATGCAGTGATGCAAATACAAAAGTTCATCCACATGGGTGAACGTTATGCTAAGTGAAATGAGCCAGCTCTAAAAGGAACATTGCTGCATGATCCCATGTGTATGAAATATCTCATAGACACCAAAGAAGATTCGTGGACACCATAGGCTATGGGGGATGGTGGGGTAGGGTTACTGCTGAGTGAATGCTAAGCTTCTGCTTGGGATGATAAAAAGTTTTGGAAACATAAGTAATGATGGTTTTACAACATTGTGTATGTGATCAATGACACTGGATTGTATTCTTGAGAAGGTTAAAATGCTAAATTTTATTTTGCTTATATGAAATAACTAGGCAAGTATTATGATGAAGTTAGACTGGTAATTGTATTGTAAAAGCTTAAATCTGATAATTCCGTGACTTTGGTGTTAGAATTGCTGGACCTCTAACTTGCCTGGCAGTTTAAGTAAGACTGGTATAATACCTACATGTATGAGTTTGTTGTTACATAAATACCATGTGTTTTTGTTGCTAACAAAAGTATTCATTTTATTGCATAATAACATTTCAGTATTTTTTTTAAATGGCATGCATATTTTACATTCATTGTATTGATTATGTTATGTAACCATCACCACAATTCATTCCCAAAGTTTTATCATCTTTCCCTTCCTTCCTGGTAACTACTAATGAGCTTTGGTTTTTATGTATTTGCCTATTCTAGACAGTTTATATAAATGAGATCATACATCTGTCCTTTTGTGGCTACTTATTTATTTCATGTATTATAATGTTTTCAAGGTTCATATATGTTGTAGCATGTGTAATTATTTCACCTCCTTATGGTTGTGTAATATTTCAGTGTGTGTGTATGAGTGTGCCTTTTTATTTGTCTTTGTTTATTCATTTGTCTCTTGGTGAATGTTTAGATTGTTTTCACCTTTGGCTATTGTGAATAATACTACAAAGAATATTGGTGTACACGTTATCTGTTTGCTTTCAATTTTCGTTCCTGCTTTCCAGTCTCTTGGATTTATATCTAGGAGTGAAATTGCTGGGCTGTATGGTAATTATGTATTTTTCTTTTGAGGAATTGCCAAACTTTTCCACAGTGGCTGCGCTATTTTAAAATTTCAACAATATGGGTGAGGGATCTATCTAATTATGTTTTAATTGTTTTCTTTAACAGGGTTAAGATTGAAAATCTAGATTCTAAATAGACTTGAAAATCATTTGATTGAAAACAAATGCTTTCTTATTTGTACACAAGTAGTTGACAGTTTCTTTGAAAAGATCATTTGTTTTCTAAACCTAGGTTCTGAGAAGTGATAATAGATTAAAACTTTAGGAAGAGAGAAGTGAACTTGGGTAGAAATGGTTTTATGACAAATCAATTGCATAGACTTGGTTATAGGAAATAATCATATTAGTTTTATTGAAATTATAACAGGTAACATTTTCAAATTAAATCTTAATTCTACACTATATATATGTTCTAAATCTTAATTGTATTTTTCTTTAAAGTTTGAATATACTCTGAACTATACATAAGATGCTTGATAAGGTAATGCAATAAGAACTTTTATAAAACAAACTTGCCTTTTGGTAGATAAGTTGACAAAATCACTTTAAAATAATTTCTTTAAAAACTATTATATTTAATTATTCTTACAGGTGGTCGCAATGGTTATGGTGCAAAACTTTGTAATATTTTCAGTACAAAGTTCACAGTAGAAACAGCTTGCAAAGAATACAAACATAGTTTTAAACAGGTATGATAGAAATGTGTCCTTTAAAAAATTGTTTTTATGAAATAATAAAACCTTAGATAAATTGTCATATTACCTAAAGAACTTCGTTTTTCCTTAACTATTGAGCAAGTCATCAGTATAAGTATGGAGAGATGTCAAGATATCTGGGAATCTTACACGAGGCTGTTTCTTCCATTCCTTTGACCCAACAGACCTTATTTAATAGACTTTTCTTTTTGGCATAGTTTTACACTAGTAAAATTTTTATGATTTTTACAGAGTCATTACAATGCAAAGGGTCTTAAAAATTGTAGAAAAATGGAATTAAAAGATGAGATTTCCCAGGAACTTTTTGAAGCTCCCTTACATTGTATATTCACTTGGCATGCTTAAAAAATTGTTCACTTCTCAAATTCATACTTATTTTATTCTTGCAAGTCTTTGAAAATAGTTTCAAAAATGTTAAGTAAGCTAAACTAATTGTTTTGTATGGTGTAGTGATTATGCTCTGGGCTGCTTACTGTAAGGTCAGCAGTTGGAAACCACCAGCTACTTCATGAAAGAAAGACGAGTCTTTCTACTCTTGTAAAGAGTTACACTCTGAAACCCACAGGGACAGTTCTACCCTGTCTTACTGGGTTGCTGTGAGTTGGAGTTTACTCCATGGGAGTGAGGCTTTTCTTTTTATAGTTCATTTTTATAAAATTCTGACAGTTTATATAGTTGTACTACCTGTTTTATTTTCAATATTAGGTTATTATAAAAAGTACTTTAAGATTTTTCATCTGTAATATTAAATTTAGGATTTGTTTGCTTTGCTATAAGTTTGGAAAATGGACACACTTTGGTAAATGGGTATATTTAACCATGTCTTAATTATGTATTTGGAAATGTTAGAAATAATTTATAGAAATGTTTGAATTTTTTTTAAGACATGGATGAATAATATGATGAAGACTTCTGAAGCCAAAATTAAATATTTTGATGGTGACGATTACACATGCATAACATTCCAACCAGATCTGTCCAAATTTAAGATGGAAAAACTTGACAAAGATATCGTGGCCCTCATGACCAGAAGAGCCTATGACTTGGCAGGCTCATGCAAAGGGGTCAAAGTCATATTTAATGGAAAGAAATTGCCTGTAAGTATCTTATAAAATAGTTTAGTACGCTGCTATTTTTTAGACAATATTTACATGGATCCTGATTTTTAAATCTGTTCTGACAAACTCTCAAGGGCTCTTAAAAGCTATATTTAGAGTATATATTTGGATTAAAATGTACTACCATGTACATTAAAATGTACATACTTGGGCATGTTCTTTTATTGCTTCTTCCCCTTCTTCCTTCTGTGATTTTAATTGAGCTTTTAAAAAAACGGTTACCTTTTATTTCTTTACTCATTTATATTAAAATGCTCTTTCATGATTGTTCTAGAGCCTACAGTATATATATTTGTAAATGGTGTGAATCTACCTTTAAATAGTTTCATATGGCTTCATTGTAGTGACCCAGGTCCTTCTAACAGTGTATTCTAGTTTCTCTCCTTCTATCCCTTGTATAATTGTCATACATTTTATTTGGGTATGTACTGTCCTCATTACAAGGAGAAGAAAGAATAGCCCAGGATAAATATTTTTAAAAACATAACATTTCTCCAAATCAGTGACTTTTTTTTGTTATTGCTTTAGTAGTTAGTTTTTTTTAAAAAAAACAAGAGGAAATAAGAGTATATTTTGTTTTCATTTCCATTGCTCTTATTAATGTGTCTATAAGCTTCTCAATTTTATTTCTTCTGCCTGATGATCTTTCTTTAACAATTTTTGTAAGGTATGTCTACTGGCCATGACTTTCTTCTGTTTTGGTTTGCTTGAGAAAGTTTATTTCTCCTTTCCTTTTGAAGGATATTTCCATTGGAAACAGAAATATTACTGGTTATAGAATCTTTTGACATTAAAAAATTCCTGTTACTATTTTAAAGGCACCACTATATCATATTCTTGCATGCATATTTCCTGATGAGAAAAAAATAACCCCTAAACCAATTGCTGTTAAGTCAGTTACAACTCATGATAGTGCCTAGTGTGCTGTTAGTCTTATCCTTGTTCCCAAATGATATAAGGTCCTTTAACTCCTCTGACAGCCTTGAAGATATTTTCTTTGTCTTTTAAAAATTTGAATGTGACATGCTTAGATAAATGTGAGTATTGGTCAGGGTGGGTTTCTGCTTCTTGTTCTCTGAACTTCTTGATCCATGCTATCACAAATTTTGGAAAGTGTTTGCCATTCGTTTTTCAAATATTTATACTGTCATTTCCTTTTGCGCTTTCTAATTATGCATATGTTGTATTTTTTGATATCATCTTATAGCTCTTTGTTACTCTTCTATTTTTTCACTTTTTGATTTTCAGTTTATGTACTTTCTATCACTTTATCTTCAAGTTCATTAATTCTTAATCAAACCTACTGATGAACTCATTGAAGGCATTTTTAATTTCTGCTATTGTATTTATTTGTGGTTTGGGTGAATTTTTACACAGCAAATTAGTCTTTCACTTAACAGTTAGCTATTGCATTTTCTATTTTGAGCATTTACATTTGATTATTTCTTACAAGTGTCCGCCTTTCAACTGAAGTTGCACTTTGTTGTATGTAAGTTCCACTAAAGCCTTTAACATAATAATTCATTTTTCAAATGCCCCATCTGATAGTTAAGGAGCGCTTTGGGCCTAGGGGTTAGGCATTGGACTGTTAAGTGTAAGGCCACGGTTCAAATCCACCAGCTGTTCTGTGAAGGAATGATGAGGTTGTCTGTTTCTGTAAAGACTTACCGTTTCAGGAGTGCTTTGGTTTGCAGTCATGTATGGTCAGAACGAATCCAAATTGATGTGATGGCAATGAATTTGCTTGGATATCTAATAGTTGAGCATTTCTGATTCTGATTTTTGTATTTTCAGAATGTGAATGTGTTATTACTATTTTTTCCCTTCCTTGCCTTTTGGTATGCCTTGTATATTTGAGTAACAACTGGACACGTTAATAGGGCAGTAGTTACTGAGGTAAATAGTCATTTAGTGTAGAGATTTCTTTCAATTCATCATGATTTGGGTGGTGTTTGTACTCATTGCTGTAGCTCTTGATGCTTCATTGTTACTATGGGTACTAAAGACTTGTTTATTGTTTTTTTTTTTTTTCTCACCTGCTATCTTTGGCCCTTTCCTTTTTGCTGCACCTTAGAGAGGTCTGTCTCTGATAGCTCACCCTGCTGTAAGCAATTCTACTGTTATTATAGGAGGCTTGTTAGCATGGTGGTAGGATGTAGGGAGATTTTTTTGATGTCAGGTTCAGTCTCAGCTACTTGGACCTGTGTTTCTGTCCCTCTGCCAAAGGTAGAGACTTTCCCTTGCCCTCAAACCTCATCTTCCAGCTATAGTAAGTATCCACTGGTATCCAGTCCATGTCAATGAGGCCCCTTGATCTGCAGACTAAGCCATCAAAGTACAACAAAGTTTAAGTGACATGTGGTGGTTGAGACTGTATTTACTCCAGCTGTAATGGTATTTCATCTTTAGTCTCCCCATCTCTTCAAGTTATTATTTTTTAAGGGAGATGGCTCAGGGTGACTTTGCCAGTGGCTGCTCTTTTCTCTGCCCTTGCCAATACAGTGAAAGAGCTTTCTCTGGAGCCTCCCTTATCTTCCCTGTAGCAGCTTGGTGTGGTTCCTGAAGGAAAAGCCTAGCAATGAATAAGAAAATCTTTATGACTGCCAACCTCCGAACTTCACACATGCCACACTAGTCCATTATTGGCCACTAACAATTAGTCTGAATTTCTAGTGTGATGTTTCCATCTGCTTCTGTGCCAGCAGGCAGCTTTGCCCTGGCAGGCAGTAGCTCATGTTCTCTGTCTCCTTGCAGACACTTTTTCACCTCTCTAGACTTTGAGATGGCTGTCTGTTCTGTGATCTTAATTTCTTAATGGGTCCTGAAAAATCTTTATATATATTTCTCTTGTTGTAAGGATGAAATTTGGTACTGCTTTTCATGTTTCCTGTTCAGCTTCTACTTGTTTGAACTAAAACTGGAAGTCTACTTTGCTATTTTAAAAGCTTCAAATTTTGAAAGATACTATAATAATTTACCTGTTTAGCTGTTCCTTCATGTCTTCTCTTTTATCATATATGCATTGAAATGAATTTGTTTTTAGAGCCCAGGGTTCAAAGAATAGAATAAAGAAAAGCCATAAAGGTTTGAATGGATGAACTTTATTGTGAATGAAAGGAAATATGAAGTATGATAAGTATCTCATACCACTCATATAGCTGAGCTACAAGTTTAAGATTACTTATTGCTTTTGTTTTAAAATTAATAGGTAAATGGATTTCGAAGTTACGTAGATCTTTATGTAAAAGACAAACTGGATGAAACTGGGGTGGCCCTGAAAGTTATCCATGAACTTGCAAATGAAAGATGGGATGTTTGTCTCACTTTGAGCGAAAAAGGATTCCAGCAAATTAGCTTTGTAAATAGTATTGCAACTACAAAAGTGAGTATGTTACTTTGTCTCTACATTAAAGGCAGAAGAGTCCTGTATTAAAAGTAACAAACAGCTATCTCTCACCACCCAAAACAAACCAAACCATTGTAAACCAAAAAAATCTTTCTATCCAAATCCTTTTTGACTTATGAAAATAAGCTATTTTTTTAAAAAAGGCTGTTGTGCAATTTATTTGAACTTCTATTGAGCAATAAGCATATATTGATATATTTCGAGGGTTACATTTATGTTTAGGACATTTAGAATAATAACAAATTCCTCGTTCTGTGTTATGAGGTTAAGGTGTAGAAGAGAAGCTAATGTAGATGAATCTTTTGGAGTCAGATATAGAATATATTATCTGCTTTAGAGTTTTGTAGGCTATGTGTTTGTATTATGTAAGCCTTCATTATGGTGAGGGGATAAATAAATTATTTTACATAAGAATTTTATTTCATTTTGAAATCCCAAAGCCTACAAAAAGAGAGTTCAAATTCTTTAGAATGGTATACACCATGCCACACACAGTCTTGTTCAATTTAAAACATTTTTTTAAACCTCAGTATTTTAAAAATTATTATCTAAGATCACTTTCTGTAGTCAACAGACATCTGGTGTCAGTTATGATTACATTGCACATATAATGACCTAGTAACAGTGGCTTACACATGTCAAGATTTTATTTTTTTCTCTATTAACTAAAGATTGGGGGTAGGCAATCCTAGATTAGTACTGTTACCGCAATGCCATTGGAGACCTATGGTCCTCCTAGCTTTATTTTCTGCTCCATTTAACATGTAAACTTCATTCGCATATCTTCAAGATGCCTGATGTACCCTCATGATTCTTTTTTAAACTCGAGAGAGAGAATGGGGAAGGGAAAATGTGTTTTCCAACTAACTCTGCGCCCTTTTTTATAAGGTATATGAGAGTGATCCTGAAAGCCCCATCTACTGGACCTCTGCTAAGCTCTCTTTGGCTAGAACTGAGTCACATTGCTACCCTGCCCTACAGGGGGAGTCTAGGTTGTGAGCTTTTTAACTGGCACATTATCAGTTAAAAACAAATTAGAGAATTTTGGCTCTGTGGCCTTGCTTAAATGCCGGCTGTGACCCAACAATGCATTATATAAATCTTAACTCTGCTATTTTGAGACACATTTTATACTCCTGGAAGTAGGATTAGTAATAACTGAGTTCATATGTTGAAGATTAAATATTCATGATTTAAAAAAAAGAGTATGTAAATGTTCTGCTACTTTAACTATAGAAAAGTTGGGATTTCATGTACATATATTCTTTCTTTTTTAGGGTGGTCGACATGTTGATTATGTAGTGGATCAAGTTGTTGGTAAACTAATTGAAGTAGTTAAGAAAAAGAATAAAGCTGGAGTATCTGTGAAACCTTTTCAAGTAAGTAGTGCCTTTTATATATGCTCTTACACTAATAAATAACATAAGTTTTGATACTGACCCTTTTATTTGTTTTAACAGGTGAAAAACCACATATGGGTTTTTATTAATTGCCTTATTGAAAATCCAACTTTTGATTCTCAGACTAAGGAAAATATGACGTTGCAACCCAAAAGTTTTGGATCCAAGTGCCAACTGTCAGAAAAATTTTTTAAAGCAGTGAGTATTAGTTGTACTATTTTTCAGTGTGTTAATAGAGTGAATTAAGTATTCTGTTTTAAATAGAAGTATTTCAAATTTGTAAAAAAAAAAAAAGAAAGAAAAGTGGAATTTTTAGTTAAATTTTACTTAGCAAGTTATGTTCTCATTTGACCATTGCCACACAAATTCTTCGGTGATATTAGTTACATTTATCACAACGGGTCAACATTCTCTGTGAGTCCAGTTTTCCCCCTTTCAGTACTGTGGTTTAGTGCTTCCTTTTTGAGTAACTCAAAAGAGAACCTTTTTAAATGATTGACTAGAGGTCTTACACTGATGACTTTTAAGTTGGACCCCAATCTTATGGGTAATATCCTTTATTTCATGTGCTACTCTGCTTTTTCACTAAAAGGTGATCTCAGGGATGGGCTCAGATAGGAGTATCACAGTGCAAGTGTTCTTTTCTCTACTGTTTCAGTTTGCATGCCGTCTGTTGAAAATAACAGTTGAATTCTGCCCTGTATGTTTCTTCCATTCTGTCTAATACCAACTATTGTGACTTTGGTCACAATGATCAGTGGTAGTAGCTGCTCATCATCTAGAGCAGTGGTTCTCAACCTTTCTTATGCCGTGACTTGTTAATACAGCTCTTCATGTTGTGGTGACCCCCAACCATTCAATTATTTGGGTACTTCATAACTGTAATTTTGCTACTGTTATGAATTGTACTAGGCGACCCCTGTGAAAGGGTCATTCAACCCCCAGAGGGGTCGCTACCCATAGGTTGAGAACCGCTGATCTAGTTGGATGGTCTCAAGGTAAGATGCGGTTGTAGCTCGTAAGTAGATTTGCTTTTTCTTTGAGCTTTTTGAAACATTTTTAGGATGTTTCACTCATGAATAGAGATCCCTTGTTGAATCTTAGATGGCTGCTTGTAAGCTTTTAGGACCCCCAGACATTATTCACTTCATTAGGATAAGATCTTTATTTTTGTGAACTCTGTTATAACATTTAACGGAGTTGTTTTATGAGACCATGGTCCTAAAACTTCAAACACAGAAGATTAATGTTGGAAATTTTGGATTATATCAGCGGAGTATCTGTGTTCCATGAATACATGTATCTGCACACAAAATTTATACTTAAATATATCTATAGATTCTTCTATAGGATCTCTGGTGGAATAGTGGGTTATATGTTGGGATGTTAACTGCATGGTCAGCTGTTTGAAACCACCAGCTAGCTGCTGGACAACAGAAAGGTGAGGCCCTAACTACTGTTGTAAAGATTTACAGTCTTGGAAACTTATATAGGGTAGGGCCACCATTAGTCAGAATCAACCCATTGGCGGTGCATGTGGTTTTGTGTTTGCAGTGTGAAACTCAACAGCCATTTTCAGGAGAAAGATGAGGCTGGCTGTTCCCACAAAGATTTACAAGCATGGAAACCTTTCTATATGGTTGCTATGAGTCAAAATTGATTTAATGGCAGTGTATGTGTTTTTAAGTGGTTATAGAAACTTACTTTTCTTCTGTATCTGTATCTACCCATATGCTAATTTGCATATACTCATCCAGATGTGTTAAACACTAGGTTTCATTTGGGTTGTGCCGTGCTGACTACCTCCATATTTTATGTCATTTTATACCTACTCTCTATGCTATAAAAGTACTTTACTAATCCTCCTCCTCGCCTTAGAAACCACCAATGAACACTGATGTTTCTTATCTATTATTAACTTCTTATAAAAGAGCTATTATTACAATATTTGTCTTTATATGCTTGGCTTATTTCACCTAGAAATTTGCCCTCCAGATCCATCAGTGTTATGTTTCTTGTTACTTTTCTTTATCTATTGTGTATGTGCACCACAATTTGTTAATGTGCTTATCTGTTGATGGGCATTTCAGTTGTTTCTATTTATTTGCTATTGTAAATAAAGCCACAGTAAACATGGGTAGGCATGTGTCTCATTATTTTCAGTTCTCTAGGGTATATAACTAGGAGTGAGATTGCCGGATAATATGGTTGTTTTATTTCTAGTTTTTTGAGAAAATTCTATAATTAGGTAATTTTCTTGATTTTTCTATTTGCGATCAATTTCTCTTATAAACTATAGATGTAAGTATGCTTACATTTAAAATATATGGGGGATCTATTAAGTTTGCTGTACATTTCATTATATTTTAACATGTACTCTTATACTGCTTTTCATAATCTGAATTCTGATAGCTTCTAGGGATAGACTATTGTTTTCTAAAACAATGAATGATATTGCCAAGAATCAAACCATTAGAAATCACTTTTCCTACTCTTTTTTTTAATATTGTGAAGCATTTATTTATTTATTTATATATTTGTTAACATTTTATTAGAGGCTCATACAACTGTTATCACAATCCATACACACATCAATTGTGTAAAGCGCATTTGTACATTCATTGCTCTCATCATTCTCAAAACATTTTCTCTCCACTTAAACCCCCGGCATTAGGTCCTCATTTTTCCCCTCCCTCCCCGCTCCCCACTCCCTCATGAGCCCTTGATAGTTTATAAATTGGTATTTTGTCATATCTTGCCCTGTCCGACGTCTCCCTTCACCCACTTTTCGGCTGTCTGTCCCCCAAGGAGGAGGTCACATATAGTTCCTTGTAATCGGTTCCCTCTTTCCTACCCATTCTCCCTTTACCCTCCCTGTTTCGCCACTCACACCACTGGTCCTGTAGGGCTCATCTGCCCTGGATTCCCTGGATTTTCAGTTCCTATCTGTACCAGTGTACATCCTCTGGTCTAGCCAGACTTGCAAGGTCGAATTCGAGTCATGGTAGTGGGAGCGGGGAGAAAACATTTAGGAACTAGAGGAAAGTTGTATTTCTCATCGTTGTTACATCGCACCCTGACTGGCTCATCTCCTCCCCGAGACCCATCAATTATTTTCCCCCACGTTTTTAAATTTCACTTTACTATGTATAAATTTATTTAACCTTTCTGTAACAAGGTGCGTGTGCAAATAGACAATTCTCACAATTGTACCTGAACCATGCTTCTGCTAGCTGCATCTTGTCATCTAGCTGTTGTGGATAACCAAGATTGCCTCAGTATCCTTGGCCATTGTGCTTACCATCAGTAAGCACACATGAAGTACTTGTCAAGTGCCTTTAAATATGCGAGGCTCTGAGATGTAAAGATGAATAACTCACATAGCCACACATTTTAGGAATTGATAGTTTACTGGGAAGGACTGTGTAATTGTCACTGAGATAAAATATTTGTCAAATTCCTGTAATGGAATTTCAAAAATGGTTTCTCACAGTAAAAAGTGGTTTTTCAGGTCTTAGCTTCAGGCTTCAAAGTATTTGTTCGATCTAATCATAATGAATTTTGGGTGGAAATTACCTTTAGGAATGTTTCCCCACATCTCTACCTTTATAAGTTTTTCTCATGTTAAAATAAATGATTTCGTTTTAGATTTATTTTTCTCTTTTATACAGGGAAAGCTAGAATTGTTAAAACAGTTCACCTCTTTTCTCTGTGTATCTCAAGCAATACAGAAAACTGTATGTTGTATACCTAAAGTACAACTACCCACGTTAATGGAAAATAACTTTTAGGACCACTAAAGCCCCGCTTTCTTTTTCTCTCCATGTGTCTTTATGCCAGTGCCATTGATGATCGCATTGCCTGAGTTCTTTTACTGTAAAGTAAAATTTACTAGTATGAATCCTGATTATTGTCATCTAACAATTACTGTTTTGTCTTAAAACTCTAAGATTCCAGGTATTGCATTAACCCCTGTGAACTTTTGCTGAATGTATAAATATTTGGCTTATTTGTATACCATTATTTTATGGTTTCAGGCTTCTAACTGTGGCATTGTAGAAAGTATCCTGAACTGGGTGAAATTTAAGGCACAGACTCAACTGAACAAGAAGTGTTCATCAGTCAAGTACAGTAAAATCAAAGGCATTCCTAAACTGGACGATGCTAATGATGCTGGTAAGATTCAGGTTTATTTTTAAGATTATTTTTTCTGTTTAGTTTTTTTGTTTTGTCATAGACATTTTTAGTTTACATAAGACATTTTTAGTTATTTTTAATTTCTGTTCAGAAAAAAAACCTTTTGCCATTTGAATCACTATATATGCTACATTTCATTAGTATTTAGAGGATAGTAATTAAATATAATATGCCTACTACTCAAACTACTAAAAGTAGAAGATGACTACAAACCAAAAGGGCTCCTGGGGGTAGAACGGGGGAAGGAGGGGACAAAGGGAGAGCTGATATCAAGGAGTTCAAGAAGAAAGAAAATATTTTGAAACTGATGGTGGCAGCAATTGTACAATTATGCTTGTTCTAATTGAATTGTGAATGGTTACAGCATCTGTCTGAGCTCCCAATAAAATGATTAAATTTAAAAATAAAGGTGAGTATAAGTCTCTTACTATCATCATTATAATGATTAATTTATCTGGTTAACTTTTTCTTATTGGTAAAAATTAATTCAGAATATACATATGTATCGATATCATTTTAAGGGGACCTGGTAATGCAGTGGCTTAAGCACTGGGCTGCCAATCACAAGTCTGGTGGTTCAAACCCACCAAACTGCTCCATGGGAGAAAGATGACGCTATCTGCTCCCTTCAGATCTATAGTCTCAAGAATCCTGCACTGTCGTATATGGGTTGCTATTAGTTAGAATTTGTTTTTGTTTTTTTAAACACTACCAAACTTGGCTGCCATTGAGTTGTTCTGACTCACATCGACCCTGGACAGTAGTTATGCTCCTGTGGGTTTCTGAGACGCTTAACTCTTCACACGAGTAGCTGCCTCTTTTCTCCCTCAGAGCAGCTGGTAGTTTCTAACTACTGACTTTGCAGTTAGCAGTTCAATGCACAACCACACCAGCACCACGACTCCTTACCATATATGCTAGTGGGTTTTAATTTTCTTTATTTATGCTTAATCATTTTATTGGGGACTCATACAACTCTTATTACACTCCATACATATATCCATTGTGTCAAGCTCATTTGTACATTTGTTACCATCATCATTTTCAAAACATTTTCTTTTTACTTGAACCCTTGGTATCAGCTCCTCATTTTTCTCCTCCCCCCACCGTCCCTCATGAACCCTTGATAATTTATAATTACCCCCCTCCCATGTTTTACACTGACCGATGTCTCCTTTCACGAGAATGTGTTTTATATGAAATTTAAAATTTCTCTTAGGTGGCAAACATTCCCTGGAATGCACACTGATATTAACAGAGGGAGACTCTGCCAAGTCGCTTGCTGTATCTGGATTAGGTGTGATTGGACGAGACAGATACGGAGTCTTTCCACTCAGGGGCAAAATTCTTAACGTACGGGAAGCGTCTCATAAACAGGTAAATTCATATACTCACATGAACGTTTTTTTTACTAAAACTTTACTACAGTTGTTGAATTTTCAAATATAAAGTCTGACTTGTAATAATTCAACACTTTAAATATACTTTTGACATTTTTTTTGCACAGATCATGGAAAATGCAGAAATAAACAATATTATTAAAATAGTTGGTCTACAATACAAGAAAAGTTATGATGATGCTGAATCTCTGAAAACTTTACGCTATGGAAAGATTATGATTATGACTGATCAGGTTGGTTTGTAAATGGCTACTTTAATTGTTTAATGAAACTTGTTCCAAGTATTAGTGAAAGTGATTATACATCAAGAGATTATAAAAAATAGTGTTTATGGAACTTTTTTGTGAGGACGTTTTATACTTAATATGCTGGTAATTTTAACAATATTTAAAACTGTGATAAATATGAGAAGAGTAGTATAGGTATGAAATATACTATAACTAAGAAGGAATTACAAAGTGAGAAAGATGTGTCAATAGAATAATGGGTTTTGTTACATGGTAAATAGATGAGGATGTACAAAATATAAGGAAGGCTTAAATAGTAAAGTGGCAGTAATCCACAGGCAGAAGAAGAACTAGAAAATTAAAAATAATTGTATTTGCATCCATGTAATTGTCTCTTGGACCGTTAACCTCAAGGCTGGAGGTTCCACCCCCCCCCAGCTTACTCTGAGAAAAAAGATGAGGCTATCTCCCGTAAAGATATCCAGCCTCGGAGACCCTGGATATCTTTCAATCTTTATGTGTCAGAATTGACTCAATGGCACTGGGTGTTTTGAGATGTACTCTTAGTAGAAGTATTTGTAGAGTATATCAACTAAAGTTATTACAAGTATGTGTTGCTTAATATCTAACTGTGGAAACTGTGGTTTCCATAACATTTTGTTTTAACAGGAAAGCAGCTCTCCTTTTGTTTATTTATTATTTCCTCTGGTGGTCATAAAGACTACAGCCCACACTTTTGTAGCGCTGACCACTGGTGGGTTACAAGCAGGGTGAGGCAGAGGACATGTTTCTGGATAAGGGCTCTATGGCTTTGTCTGGTGGGCAGGCTGCGGTAGTGGTACAGCAGAGAAGGTAGGGCACATGCTTTTCCATCTCCACTCCTGCACCTTCTCTCTGGCTCGCTTCTCCCAACAGGTGAGGCCAGCATAGCATCAGCAATGAGGACAACTGCAAGCACTCTTTGTTAAGGATGGTGATTTCACAGCATCCAATTCATAGATCCTATTTCACATAAAAGGTTCTCAACCTGTGCGTTGCGACCCCTTTGGGGGTCGAACGACCCTTTCATAGGGGTTGCCTGATTCATAACAGTAGCAAAATTACTATATGAAGTAGCAATGAAAATAATTTTATGGTTGGGGGTTCACCACAACATAAGGAACTGTATTAAAGGGTCACGGCATTAGGCAGGTTGAGAAAGTATCGTGATCATTAAGTGACACATACCTATATATAATTTTAAGTGGAAAATTTACAATCTGAATATGAGAAGACACAAATTTGCCTCACTTCCCGAGATTTACTTTTCCCTTGCCTGCTGAAGTTAGGTAGTATAGCTCTATTTTAAGAATTTTTATCCTCAAATCATTCTTTAATAAAATCTGGATAAATTGTACAATCTTTATAATAATAATAACATGTTTTATACTGGTAAAAAGCTTCAGTTTATCACTACTCTTTTCTTTATTTGGATTTTAAGAGAAAATACTATGTTCATCTAAAGAATAGTGTTGTTTTATATACAATTAACTGTAGAATTTAATGGCATTTCGCTTCTTTGCTAGATTTATGTATTTTAAAAATTTGGTTATATGGGTATACTTTTTAAAATTATTACATCACTGTTTGCTACATTTGTTTAGGATCAAGATGGATCTCACATCAAAGGTCTGCTTATTAATTTCATTCATCACAATTGGCCATCCCTTTTGAAACATGGTTTTCTTGAAGAGTTCATTACTCCTATTGTAAAGGTACTGTTGCATGAATACATTTTTATACTCTTAACCTTACAAGGGAACAGAAACACTGAAAAGATTTTCTTTTAAATTTAAGGCAAGCAAAAATAAGCAGGAACTTTCCTTCTACAGTATTCCTGAATTTGATGAATGGAAAAAACATATAGAAAACCAGAAAGCATGGAAAATAAAGTACTACAAAGGTTTGTAACTTAAAATGTTTAACTTATGTCAGTAGAGACTTCATATAGTCTAAACAGTTTTGAAAATATTATAAAAATACAAAGCCTTACCCCATGAACTTTAAAACGAGCTATTGGTGATTTTAAAATAAATCGAAATTTTTATGGTCGTAGAGAAGTACAATGGGCCCCTTGCCTCCATGTAGTTTAATTCATTACTTCATGGCCAGTCTGGTTTCACCAAAACCCCTTTTGTCACCACACCAGTAGTTTGAAATAACTCCCAGGTGTTATAACTTTTCATCAATAATTATTTTAAATTATCTCTAAAGAAATTAAAAACAGCATGTCTACATGTTGTAAGTATCATTTTTATACTTTTCCTGAATGTCATCAAATATTCAGCCAGTGTTTTAAAATTTCTCTTATATTAAAAGTGAGTTTATGTTAATTATGGGAGGTATAATTCAGAAAAGGAGTCTAAAAATTACTATTTGACTGAAGAATGTAATCAGTGTACCTGAATTCCACCTGTAGAAATTGTCGAATTGGTGTATGTTCTGCTCTGTATATTTTGTGTAATAGCAACACAAAATAGAATTAAGACAATTTTTTTAATAGTAAATAGGTTTGAGTCAAAATCCAAAGATGAGCTACACATTACATTTTGTTTTTAAGTCTCTTAATATATGAATCGACTTTTAGTAATTTTTCCTTACATTTTTTTGGGTTGTTCAAAAAGTTAGTTTATCTTATATCTTCCCACATTCTAGATTTTGCTTATTATATCCCTGTGTATTCACTTAATGTGTACCATGCACACTGTCCGAGTATGCCAATGGTTAAATTGGAGTGTGATTAGCATTGGACTAGTTTTTTGTTTTTTTTTTGACTAGTATTTTTTTGTGCCAAAGCTGTTTGAGAAGTGGTAGTATATACTTAGGTCAGGAGGCCTTACTGCTTGTCTTTTTGTAATATTAAGATGGATCTGTTCGATGCAGGTATTACCAGCCTGATGCATGTATTATAAATTTCCCCATCAGCTTTATGTTTAGTGGTGTCAAATAGCCATTGATATTCATCATTCAGTTTTATCTTTTCAACTGTGCAGGGTTGGGTACCAGTACAGCTAAAGAAGCAAAGGAATATTTTGCTGATATGGAAAGGCATCGTATCTTATTTAGATATGCTGGTCCTGAAGATGATGCTGCCATTACTTTGGTAATAAAGTTAATTTTAAAAAACCTTTTAAAATATCTATTCTCTGTCCTCCTTCATACCTGTCCTTCCAGCCCTATGATAGTTTCCTATGATGTGTCTCTTTTGAGGTCCCTGTGACAAAATTAGTTAATTTTAGTATTTTACACTCTCCACCCCTTCCCCAGATTATGCCCTGCTTTCATAATTATTTATTGAAAAGTAAAGGATATTTTTGATTAAAAATGTACTGGTTTAAAAAACCCCCACAACTAAAACATAACACAGGATTCTATGAATGCATATACTTTAAGTAAAAATAAATAGACATTTGACATATCTTAGCTTTAATTGGTATTGAAATGATTATTTTTGATGTATGAACTCTTTACCTGGAATCTTGCAGGCATTCAGTAAGAAGAAAATCGATGACAGAAAAGAATGGTTAACAAATTTTATGGAAGATCGGAGACAGCGTAGGTTACATGGCTTACCAGAGGTTAGTCCTGGGGTGGTGATATGGGGGAAGAAAGTATGAAAGTGAGAGCCTAAAATACATGCAGCAATATTCACAATATTGCTATATAACTTTTCTCTTAGCAATTTTTATATGGTACAGCGACAAAGCATTTGACTTACAATGATTTCATCAATAAGGAATTGATTCTCTTCTCAAACTCAGACAATGAAAGATCTATACCATCTCTTGTTGATGGTAAGTAGGCTTTTTAAATATCTGAATTGTTATATATAATTAAGTATTTTAATGTAATGTACTTTAAGTTGGAATAAAATTTAAAAGTCTACTTGAGGTGTTATAAGTCATATGAAGAATGGTTTCAGAAGAATTTAAATGCTTTTTTGAAGTTACTTTTGAAATATGGTAGGACTGAAATCTTTACTGTTAATTAGAAACTTTAAACCCTGTTAGAGAATATTTTCAGGAAAACTGAGGTTTTATCTCTAAATTTCAAGAACTCCTATCTCAAAAATTGCAGAACTTGTAAAATAAAAAGTAAAATGAGATTTTGATTAAAAAAATTATAAAAGTATTTTTAGATAAAAATGTTTATTAAAGACTAACATTTTAAAACATCTTTTTGCCTTATTACCTGAAACTTAATACTGGGGAATTTATAACAAAACTTGGTCTTTTGGCTAGAGAGTTATTTTCTCACATATTCTAATTTTTAGTAAAGTTCTGTTAACTTTATTTCTTAACTAATTGCAAATGACTTTTCTTATCAGTGTTCTAGTTTTTAAGTTGTATCCCTTCTATGAAATATTTTTTTTAAATTCCAGTCTAAATTGACTTCAGATGCCTAAATTCATGTCAATTATTGTGTCTTTAATTCTATTTGTATTAATTTTGCCTTCTCAATCAGATTATGAAATTATTATGGCGAACAGGCCACATTTTATCCCTGTTTTGGCCATGCACAGGGCCCACAATGATGTGGATGACGCTAGCAAGCATACACTGTGCTTATTTGTCTAGAACTATAAGAATAATAAGTGAGCAGAGCGTTTTGCTTCCATCATTGCGTGCGATTTTTAATAATCCTTCGGGAGGTAATAATTTCTACTTCACTGATGAGAATATGGAGATTTATTAGTCTAGTAATTTGTTCAAGTTGCATGGTAAATAGCTAAAATGAGAATTGTATCCAGATCGGTGGGATTCTAAAGTCTGTGTTCTTAACTACCACTTGTTTACCACTCTCAATCAATCCTGTTTAGGTTCCGTGGTGCCTGCCGGTATTTTAGTCACAACTGGCATTTGGTCATGGGTGCTTGGAGGCTTTTGTGAAAGGAGTTTGTTGCCACTGGGTAGTTCTTTAAAAGACTAGGAAACATATTTCAATTGCTATCTCATGTTTGGAATAGATTGAGGATGTAAGATTTGGCTTTTGTGTACATATTTTGTTATCTGAAGTAGCAATTTTAGTCAGAAATTTTTTAAAAGTAAATGTATTTTTGCTGCTTTTGCTGATTATATAGAACATTGTCACTGAAAAAAATCATTAGCAACTAAATCTTGAAGTAATATTTTCTAAAGGGGGTTGCTTTTTTTAAAAATTAGGCTTTAAACCAGGCCAACGAAAAGTTTTATTTACCTGTTTTAAGAGGAATGATAAACGTGAAGTAAAAGTTGCCCAGTTGGCTGGATCGGTTGCTGAGATGTCTGCTTATCATCATGGAGAAGTAAGCATTAAGATTGGAACTGACTGAGATGGCCTAGAGCATCAAAAATAATTACATGAAAAAATTATATCAAGGGTTCATGAGGTAGGGAGGGTGGGGAAGGGGGAAGCTGATACCAAGGACTCAAGTAGAAAGAAAATTTTGAAAATGATGGTAACATGTACAAATGTGCTTGATACAATTGATGCATACATTGTTATAAGAGCTGTAAGAGCCCCCAATAAAATGATCTTTTAATTAAAAAAAAATTAAACACACTAAAGTATTTTTTTCTTTTATATGGTCTCTGGAAATATAAGGGAATTGAAAAGTTTAGATTTTAATAAAAATGTGGGCATAGTTATGAGATATTTACAATATTAATGTTTTATTTTTCTATTTCTATTCTGTAGCAAGCATTAATGATGACTATTGTGAATCTGGCTCAGAACTTTGTGGGAAGTAACAATATTAACTTACTTCAGCCTATTGGTCAGTTTGGAACTCGGCTTCACGGTGGCAAAGATGCTGCAAGCCCTCGTTATATTTTCACAATGTTAAGGTACCCATCTTCTGAGACACAGTAACATGAAGTTTTATTTGAAGTTCATTGGAAATAAATGTTTAATAGAATTGTAGCTGTCGAGAGATGATAGCTGGTTATTTATTCATTTTTAGGGTATGTGTTCTAAATTATTTGATCACAAATAGAATGAAGTATTTTGATGTTAATTTTTATGTGTTATTGGTGAAGCTAATCTTAATGAATGTAAGGATTTTTTTCTGACCCCACTTAATTTTTCAACTGCAGATAGGTTAGGTGGCTTATTCAGGGTAAAAAGGAAACCTTTAAAAAGCTTTATTGATACTAAGATAAAGAAAATTGGACTTAATTTATTGTATCATTGTGCCAGAGTGAAGCATTTGGCAATGAGTTTAAGTGAATTTTTTGGTTAAGCGATAGATACTAAAGACACATGGAATACAAATTTTAAAATGCATTCATATATGTATATATATGTATGTATCTTTAATTATGTATAAAGTTTTATTTCCCAGATCTATAGGCTTTCACTATGTTTTCTTTTTTCCTTGTCTTTAATTAGTTCTTTAGCAAGACTGCTTTTCCCTGCCATGGATGATAACTTGCTGAAGTTTCTTTATGATGATAATCAACGTGTGGAGCCCGAGTGGTATATTCCCATAATTCCCATGGTTTTAATAAATGGTGCTGAGGGCATTGGTACTGGATGGGCTTGTAAACTCCCCAACTATGATGCTAGGGAAATTGTGAACAATGTCAGACGAATGCTAGATGGCTTGGATCCTCATCCCATGGTAATTATCTGGAAATTATTATTTATATTGTTTATTTAATGAATGATAAAATTTAGCCTACAGAGTCCATTCAATTATTTGAGAAAAGCAGTGGAACCACTTTTATTTTAGAACACATTATAGAAAACAAAGACCTTAATGGTGTGTAACTTATGTGTGTTTTACACTGAAAGATTCAGCCTTTGTTAGAAACCTGATGGTAATGTTTGAAAGAAGAAACTGTTAATGGAAATGTAAAAATACCCTATTCTAGGCTTTCAAATCTTTCAGTTATATTCACACACAGAATAATAATTTTAGGACCAAATTATATGTTACTGTTCTTGAACTACCAAGTTTCATTAAAGTGATAAAGATACATAAAATAAAAGCAATTAATACAAACTCTATATTTTAAACTTTGTCCTACATGATTTTCGGGGCTTGATTCTCCCTTGAACTCCTCCTGAAAGATTAAAATAAGCCCCTTGAAAGTGGTTTTTTTCTCCTCTCATGCATGATTTAAAATTATCTAGAAAATTTCTCTCATGATACTGTAAAAGTGTATTTTTATTACAAAAATGATCATGCTTGTTACAGAAAATATAAGTAAGCGAAGAGAAAAATGTTCAAAAAGCCACCATACAAATTCTTTTGAAAAGTTGGCAGGTAGTGAGTGGCAGTATGTTTGTGGTTCTGAGAAACAAGTCACTGTAGAACTTTTAGAAAGTTAGATTGGGTCCAGACTGCAGGAAACTTTCACTGTAATGCCTCAAGAAGCTTGAATTTAAAGATTTACTAATTTAGAGAAGAAGGAGGTATATAAGTAATGGGCTAAAATCATATTCTATGAAGATGAAGAAAAGTTTTGAGATTTGAGGGTGTCCAGATTATATAAACAAGAAGTAGTAAATTCAAGATTGATCAGCCATTTGGAGAGAGGAAATATATAAAGGATGAGAAATTCTGTTTATGTCATTGTAAATTTGTCATTATTGATAGTCATAGAGTTGGGGGCATTCAAAAGTGCTACTGACACTTAAAGAGAGAAATCAGAACTGTAAGTTATTTTATTTCTCTGCAGCTTCCAAACTACAAAAACTTTAAAGGGACAATTCAAGAACTTGGTCAAAACCAATATGCGGTTAGTGGTGAAATATTTGTGGTGGATAGAAACACGGTAGAGATTACAGAGCTTCCAGTTAGAACTTGGACACAGGTTAGTATAAACATTTGACCTTTCTATGAGGATTCTTTTGGGTAAGAATACAGGCATACTCTGTTTGTCTGTGCATCACTATATTGTGCTTCATAATTATGTTTTATTCAATTGAAGATTTGTGACAACCCTGAATCAAGCAAATCTCTTGGCGCCATTTTTTCAATAGCATGTGCTCACTTTGTGTCTCCAGGTTACAGTTTTGTTGCTTTTTAAATATTTCAAGCTTTTCATAATTATGTTGCACACTTAATAGACTACAATATTGTGTAGCTCCTATTTGTACTGGAAAGCCAAAACTCTGCATCTCATTTTATTACAGTACTTTTAGATTGTGGTAGTCTGGACCAGGACTGACTTAATATCTCTGAGCGTGTCTCTAGATTCCACCATCGTTTAGTCTAAGGCTGCATGGTGTTTTAAAATTCCTGTATACTTTGACCCTCTTAGTTGAATTTGTGCTTTGAATATTCAAATTGTAATTAAAAAGTATTAAACTTCTCTAAGTGAAGTAGAAAGGTCCCTGCTTGGCACTAATGGTTTACACTCCACTACTAACCTAAAGTTTGGTGATTGAAGCCCACCAGGTGGCACCACAGATGAAAGACCTGGCGATTTGTGCTGTAAAGAAAACAGTCAAGAACACCTTAAGGAGTGGTGCTATTCTGTAATACACCTGGTGGTTGCCATAAGTTAGAATTGACTCAATGGAATGAGTCTGGTTTAATCAGAATGATGCTAGCTCAGTACATTTGTTGGAGATACTACTTTTTGTATTCATTTAAAAATGAATAGAATAAAGTGTAAGGTGCAGTTGACTTTTGTTAGGAATCCTTATAAATATGGTCAATAAATTTCATGTCAACTAGTATCTGCTGTTAAAGATCTATTAGCCAACCTAATCTCTAGTCAATTTCAGTTGATATTTTATGTTCAGCAGCTTCTTCACCTTTGTTTAGAATAGGAACAGAGCAGCGCCATTACTTTATATGCCGCCTCTTTGAGATCCTCTCTGTTAATGTCTATAGTGGCTGGGCAAGGAGCCTTGGTGGCACAGTGGGCAAGGCCTTGGTTATTCATGGTTTAAGTTCAGTGGTTAGAACCCACCCTAAGGGGCAGTTCTACTCTATGTTTACAGGGTCACTGAGTCACGATTGGATGACAACACGTTTGGTGTTTCCGGTTTAGTGTCTAGCAGGAGATGGTAGAGGAGATAAGAGATTTATTCCTCTCTCACACCGGAACTGAGAATTTCAAAAGCTGTGTAGCATGTGGTAGGAGAGTATATCATGTAAAGAATGACTTGTTTTAAAATCTTTTGTAGGTATACAAAGAGCAGGTTTTAGAACCTATGCTAAATGGAACAGACAAAACACCAGCATTAATATCTGATTATAAAGAATATCATACTGATACAACTGTGAAATTTGTGGTGAAAATGACTGAAGAGAAACTTGCACAAGCAGAAGCTGCTGGATTGCACAAAGTCTTTAAACTTCAAACAACTCTTACTTGTAATTCCATGGTAATTTATTAGGTTTACAATTAATTTGACTTTTCTTGTATCTGTTCAGTTGTTGCTAATACCTTCATGATAGGAGTGGTTATATATAGTAAGCCTAAATGCATTTTCCTCTTGAAACGTGATAGAAATGAGAGTCACATAAATCTATGTGGAAAGTGTTTATTCGGTATATCTGCTGAAGAGTCTAGGAGTAAATTCCTTTCCCTCTATTATTAATCCTCTGGCCTTATTCCCAACTCTTTGTTTCTATATCTGGACTCGAGCCCAGAGCATACTTAATACCCTCACACGCTAAAAATGATGAGACAGATTGTTGCAGGATTTTCATATGCATTAGCCAATCTCATACATCTAGTCTTTATTAAAAGGTATGTGTGATTATCCAAGTTCCCTAATTTATTATCTCGAAGGTTAAAAAAAAGGAAACAAATGCAGTGATAGCACAGTGGCTAAGAAAAAGTACCACTATCTGCTCAGAAAGGGCTTTAAATGAAAGAGAAAAAGAGATGGGAAAGTTCCAAAAAACTTGTGGAACTTTGAGTGACTAAATTATAGAAATGGAATTTTAAAAAATATTGGAAAATAGAAATATGTTGAGCATATATGGGGGAGAGAACTTTAGATTGAACAAGTTTAGATAAGGAATATTTAAAATTTTACTCTGCATATGTTTTTCTTGCTGATGCTGTAACCATTTTAACGAACTTACTTTTTAACAACCTATTTTTCCTCTCAAATTTTTCCCTACTTTCTATATTATTATGGCCTTTGAAAATGTGAATTTATCATCTGTTTGGCAGTCATCCAAAGACTGTTTGCAAAATGTGCTTATGATTGTTTTTAGGGATACTCTTCAAATAATCATTTATTTTATTTATTTTTTAAATACTGTGGACACCATATGTTAAAATATCAATACTAGTTTAATGCAATTATATAAAATTTATGTTTTGTTTAGGTTCTCTTTGATCATATGGGATGTCTAAAGAAGTATGAGACTGTGCAAGACATCTTGAAAGAATTCTTTGATTTACGATTAAGTTACTATGGCTTACGGAAAGAGTGGCTTGTAGGAATGTTGGGAGCTGAATCTTCAAAGCTTAATAATCAGGCCCGTTTTATTTTAGAGAAGATACAAGGGAAAATTTCTATAGGTAAGATGTCATTTTTAAAAATTTTATTATTAATTGAAATGGAAAACTTTATTAATAGAAGACTTTTTTTGTGAGTAGAATATAAACAAATACAAGTTGAATCTCTTTTCTTGATCCTAACTTTATTTTTCCCTCACATAGAGAATAGGTCAAAGAAAGATTTGATTCAAATGTTAGTCCAGAGAGGTTATGAATCTGACCCAGTGAAAGCCTGGAAAGAAGCACAAGAAAAGGTAATCATTTGCAGAAAAAGACATTTAGAGAAGCTTTCAAAAGCATCTTCCAAAATAAAATCCTACCCCTAAATTTTAAATGTAGTACTGCTAAAGGTGCTGAGTTGTCTGCTCGGAGACTGAAGTCTTCTGTTTATCCACAGAACAGATACAGTGCAGGAATTTGCAGTGCACACCCACCACAAAGCACTTTGCCAGTGTGATTCAACCAGGGCCTGGAGAAATGACTCCAGGTGTGAGAAGGTAGCTCAGTCTCTTTGGCATTTTTTTCTGAGCCTGCCATTAAAGGGTGTCAGTTGTGGTGGTGGTTTTTGTGAGGTGCATGCATTCTATCTGGGAACCAGACTGTAGTGATTAGTTATTCCACATTGTTCAGTCTGGGGTCACACCATGGCATCCAGTCACTACTCACTCGGCCTGGTTTTGGTTGACACTGGGAACATTAGAGGTGCAATGGTCATTTATTACAGTATTTATAAATTACCCAGTAGATCTTCTGCCCCATGCTCAGGACTTTTGGCTAGAGATTTAAGCCTTAGGATTTCAGGTTAGAAATCTGATGTTAATTATTAACTAAGTTGTCCATTTCAGATCTTCCAAGTAGTAATATTGAGTGATTATACTATTGAAACTTTTCAATGTTCCCTCAAATGACATTAGTTTCTTCCTTTTTTATATTATTAAGTGAAAAAATTTAAAGGTAATATTATGTTTGAGAATACAAATGTAGAACAGTAAGAAAATTAGAAATGATTAAGGCTATCATCTTTTTAAAATAGTTGATTAGTGATATAACGTGAATTGAAACTTCTATACTTGTAAGTTCTCAATCATAATATTTTCATACTTTTCATCAAATTACATTAAAATGCTGCTTTTGCTTATATTAAGATTTTTCTTCCAATTTTGAAGTCAGTATATTGCCATATATTAAAGTGAGTGAAACTAGAATATATAATGCAGCACTTATATATTTAGAAATAGGCTTCCTTTCATCACTTAATTGAGGAAAATAGGGTAGGAAAAGGCAGACATTCAAAATTAGGATGATCCAAGCACTTTTCTCCCTTCCTGTGTTTAATTATACTCATATCTCAAATTTTTCAGACACTGATTTCCTTCTAATGTTACTAATATTTCTAGTATTATGACTGATTTAAGCCATAAGTTAAAAAATTAATTTGCTTAGTTTTAAAAGGTAAATGTGTCTAAAGTGTGAGAATAACTTTCCCATGGAAATAGACTCCCTGGGTAAACCTAGTGCTTGGTTGCTTTTCATTGTATTGACACCAACAAAAATTTCTCAGGATTTTGGTCATGTGTACATTTTGGAGATCTGAGCAACATAAAGACTGCTCTCCCTAAAGGGTATTATTATTTTTATATAATTGGGCATAAGAGTTAGAATTCAAAAGCCTATAATTAAAGAAGGATTTGTTTTGTCCTAAAATACGTTGGAATTATGTCATTGCAAATTTGAAAGGTTATGTATTTTAAAAATTTTCTGTGTTCTAAATCATACTCCCTGTTAGCAATGTACAATTATAGAACATTCATAATAATACTTCAGTGTGTGATCAAACCCTAGATCAAATTACTTTGAAACATGGTTCTAATAAGATTCTAAGACACTCATATTATTTTTAAAATAGCCTAACCATGTAAGAAAATTTGAAAATGGTAAAACTATTAATTTGCCATTAGATATATACAAAATTCTTAAACATCTTTCAGCTCAACAGATGCAGTCATTATTTGGCTAGTGCTGCATATTTGAATTTATAATTTGTTTATATAATGAAATATATTGCTTTGCAATTTTTATTCATATTTCTAAAATACATTAAAACTATATATTGTATATTTGCATCATTTTAATTAAATTTTTGATTAAATTGTAAGTTAATTTTTTCTTTCTTGGGGTACTAAAAGTGAACATATTTGTTTTATGGAGTATTGTGGCCAACTCAGACATTTTTAATTATCTGAGTGCCTTAAAAAATTAAGATGCAATTTTTATGTCAATGACTTGTTATTTTTGAAAAATGTAAGGATCTCACTTATAGTAAATTTTATTCACTGGATTTGAAATTGAGTATTCACTTAGGACTATTTTATTGCAGCGCTTTCTGTGAATAAAGACCTATGAATATGCTTTTTAAGTAGACCTGACAATTTTTAATCAAATTTTAAGTCATACTTAACCAACTCTTAAATTCTTAAGTGAAGTTTCTCTGAGTTCTCACATGAATAATCTTGCTTTAGAGCATTTTTATTGACTTCTTAGTAAGTGAATGTACCTTAGCATATCTATTACAACTGCAAACAGTCCTCATAGGTGATATTTATTCTGGGTTTTGAATTGTTAATTTACTCATCAGTATAAAAATTTGATAAGGTGCAAGGGTGTAAAGCATTAGTTTTACTCCATTAATTACAAGATGTGGAGTATTCTTATTTTATAATTTAGTGCCTGTGTAGAACAGTTAATTTTCATTGGGCAAGTAGGGACTGCATTTTAAAGATTTTACTGTGTGTCTTTAGAAAATTTGAACCTCTTACTGGAAATACATTTTTATAGGTAATTTTGCATATAATCTAAAAGAACCCCTGAAGATACAGAAATAAATTAGTAGCTTTGTAACATCTTTATTCTGTATTCAATAAAATTCAATATTGATTTGCTATTGTATAGGATGTTAATATAAAGTTTATTTTTTTTACAGGCTACGGAAGAGGAAGAAACACAAAACCAGCATGATGATAGTTCTTCTGACTCAGGCACTCCTTCAGGCCCTGATTTTAATTATATTTTAAATATGTCTCTATGGTGTCTTACTAAAGAAAAAGTTGATGAACTGATTAAACAGAGAGATGCCAAAGTATGAATTTTTGTGGGAAAATAATTTAAAACTATTTTTGTGTTGTTTATATCCTAGTTTTCTTTTTCAAAAATTTAGTATTTTATTTCTTCATAAATTTTAAAATTTGGGAATATTTAACCTGTACTGCTTTTTAATTGATTATAGGGACGAGAGGTCAATGATGTTAAAAGAAAATCTCCTTCAGATCTTTGGAAAGAGGATTTAGCAGCATTTGTTGAAGAACTGGATGTAGGTTAAGGCTATATTAAAATTATATTTTAAAGCATTTATGAAATAAGAATGAAAATTATTTTTACATGTTTAACTTTGTATGGGTTAATGTGCTCCATGAAGTTAAATAACTTGTTTAGAGAGGCAGTGTATGATTAAAGAGCCATTACTCCTCCTCTCTGGACCCATTTCATTATCTAGAAAATGGACATCAGAATTTTTAATGCCTAACATTTTCAATAAAATTAACGGTTGTTTCTCAAGGTAACGTAACTTGTAAGTTTAAGTGCCAAGGTTGATTTCTAGATCTGTCTGATTTCAAAGCTAATGTTATTTATATTATGCTATTATACAAAAATATATTTGAAAATATCTTTAAAGAAATGATAATAATGTTAGTTTTTCTTGTATCTCTGTACACCTAATATCTGAGGGAATTATTTTGTCAAAGGAATCTTTAGCATTAACCAGTATTCTCATTTATTTTTAACAATGAACTGCTTAAGTTCTATTTAGTTATATTGGTACTTTCAATTTTCATATTTTTGACCTTAATTTACATATTGAACCATCTCCATTTTTAAATTATAAGTTAAAGCAATAGAAAATAATATCTTCATAGTTGTTAATACAATCTTTTGTGTATGACTTAGGAGGATTCTGATAATACCATGTCATAAGAGGTCTTGGTTCCATGGTACACCTTAGGATACTAGGATTTGAAGGTGCCACATTACTTATTAAATTACTACTCCCTTGTATCACAATTTAGAAGCTCGCTAGACAAAATTGTTGTTGGATTAGATTGGATTAGGTTATTTGAAAGACAACTGTTTAATCAGTAAAACGAATTTTAGTTTCTTATGCACCACCGATCGGCTTTCTTAAAGAGTTACTTACATTTTCCTCCTCATAAATACCCTTCAGAAAGTGGAAGCGCAAGAACGGGAAGATATTCTGGCTGGAATGTCTGGAAAAGCAATCAAAGGTAAAGTCGGCAAACCTAAGGTGAAGAAGCTCCAGTTGGAAGAGACAATGCCCTCACCTTATGGTAGAAGAATAGTTCCTGAAATCACCGCTATGAAGGCTGATGCCAGCAAAAAGTTGCTGAAGAAGAAGAAGGTATGATGTGCCTTGGTTTAGCTCATTGGCATCTATCTCCATAATTATGTATATATGCATTATAATTATATAATTATAATTTTCCTGGGTGCTTAAATTTTATTTTGTTTCTAATATGAGAGGGCTTCAAAAAGTTTGTGAAAAAACTCCATATCTTTTCATTTTCCCCAAACCTTTTTGAAGCCTCTTTGTATTATTTGCTAGGAGCTCATATGGCAAGATGTTTCCAGTAGACATTGACGTTCTACTAATGTTAACTAGCCAGGCTGTTTCTCAGGCCACTCCAGAACCAGTTTTTTTCCTCCTCTCGGCTGTAGTATAATTCCTTACTCCCATTGTAAATAATAGTAACTAAGCTAACCATTAAACAAGGGTGTGGTCCAATTTATACCATCTACTAAGGTCAGAATTTAGTCTCATCTCATTCATGTTTGTTAGCAAATACTGCCTTCCAAAACAGGACCACAGGCATATGAAATCCAGATTTTTCATAAGTGTACATAAGATCCCTGGCTGGAAAGATAATATTATTAGTTAATTGGAAGGGCCATATTCATTGAGTTCACCAAGCATGATGTTTTTTTCCAGGGACTCTTCTCTCCTGATAACATATCCAATGGAAGGGCGGTCAAGTTTTGCCATTGTAAGGAGCAGTAGGCTCTATTTCTTCCAGAGCTGTTTGTTCTTTTGGCAATCCATGGCGCTTTCATATTCTTAGCCAGCATCATAATTCAAGTGCCTCAGTTCTTTTTTGTTCTTTCTTATTCAAAGTCCAACTTTCACATGCAAATGAGGCCATTGAAAATACCATGGCTATGTAGAGTTTGTTATAAGAGCTCTAAGAGCCCCCAATAAGATGCTTTATTAAAAAAAGAGAGAGGGAGAAAGAAAATGCCACTAGGCTTGGGGTCTTAAAGGCTTGAAGGTAAACAAGTGGCCATCTGGCTCAGAAGTAACAAAGTCCACATGGAAGAAGCACACCAGCCTGTGTGATCATGAGGTGTCGAAGGGATCAGGTATCCAGCATCATCAGAACAAAAAATCTTACCATAGTGAATGATGGGGGCAGTGCAGAGTGGAGACCCAAAGCCCATTTGTAGGCCATTGGAGATCCCCTTGAAGAGGGGTCTCGGGGAGGAGATGAGCCAGACAGGGTGCGATGTAGCAACAATAAAAAATACAACTTTCCTCTAGTTCCTAAATGCTTCCCTACCACCCTCTCCCCCCCCACCACCACCACTATCATGATCCAAATTCTACCTTACAAATCTTGCTAGACCAGAGGGTGTACACTGGTACAGATAATAATTGGAAACACAGGGAATCTATGTCAGATGATCCCTTCAGGACCAGTGGTGTGAGTGGTGATACTGGGAGTGTACAGGGAGGGTGGGTTGCAAAGGGGGAACTGATTACAAGGATCTACATGTGACCTCCTCCCTGGGGGACGGACAATAGAAAAGTGGGTAAAGGGAGACGGACAGGGCAAGATATGATAAAATAATAATTTATAAATTATCAAGGGCTCATGAGGGAGTGGGGAGTGGGGAGGAAGGGGAAAAATGAGGAGCTGATGCCAGGGGCTTAAGTAGAGAGTAAATGTTTTGAGAATGATGAGGGCAGTGAATGTACAAATGTGCTTTACACAGTTGATGCATATATGGATTGTGATAGTTGTATGAGCCCCTATTAAAATGATTGGAAAAAAAACCAAACTCAACCACCAAGTTAAAAAGAAAGTACCGCTAGGCTGAGGCATGCTTTAGTCCTCTAAGTAACATCCTTGCTTTTCAACACTTAAAAAAGAGTCTTGTGCAGAAAATTTACCTAATGCATTGTATCATTTGATCTCTCAATTGTTGCTTCCATGAGCATTGATTGTAGATCCAAGCAAGATCAAATCCTTGACACTTCAGTCTTTTCTCTCCATTTTGTCATGATGTTACCACCTATTGGTCCAATTAAAATAATTTTGGCTTTCTGTACATTGAGTTGTAATCCTTACTGAAGGCTACAAATCCTTGGTTTTACCAGCAAGTGCTTCAAGTTCTCTGCATATTGAAGGTTAATACGTATTCCCTTAATTCTGATGTGGAATTCTTCATATAACCCAACTTCTCAGCATGCAGATGGAATAAGTATGGTGAGAGCATACCCTGATGCACACCTTTCTTGATTGTTAACCATGCAGTATTTCTTTGTTTTATTTACACAACTGCCTTGAGCACAATAAAGTATTATGGAATTCCCATTTTCCTCAAGGGTATCCATAGTTTGTTTTGATCCACACAGTCAAATGCCTTTGCAAAGCAATAAAACACAAGTAAACATCTTTCTGGTATTGTCTGCTTTCAGCCAAGACCCACCTGACATGATAGCCTTTGCTCCACATCCTCTTCTGAATCTGTCAATATATGCTGCAAACATCGTTGAATGATTTTCAACAAAATATATTAATGGTATTGCTCTATAACTTGTGCATCATGGTGGGTCCCCTTTCTTTGGAATGGGGTCAGATATGGTTCTCTTCCTGTTAGTTGCCCAAGTAGCTTACTTCTAAATTTCTTGGTATAGTGTCTGTAGTGCTTCATCAGCTGGTTGAAAATTTCAGTTGGCATTTTATCAATTTCTGGAGCTTTGTTGCTGGCTGATACCTTTGGTATAGCTAGGACTTGATTCTTGATCATATAATTCCTCTTGACATGGTTGAATGTTGATTTGTTTTTTTGGTTCATTGACTGTATATTCTTTGCATCTTCTTTTGATGTTTGCTGTATCATTCAATATTTTACCCATAGACTTTCAGTATTTTAACTCAAGGTTTGAGTTTTCTCTTTAGTTCTTCCCATTGAAGATGTCCTGAGCTTGTTCTTTCTTGGTCTTAGCACATTTCATTATAATACTTTTTCTTCTCAAGTTGCCCTTTGAAATTTTCTGTTTAGTTCTTTCACTTCATCATTTCTTTAATGTGACCTAGCTACTCTACGAATATGAGCACATTTCAGAGTCTCTTTGGACATCCATGCAGATCTTGTCTTTTTAATGACCTTGTGCTTTCTTCATGTGTTACATACTTGATGTCATTCACAACTCATTAGATCTTCTGTCATTAGTGTTGAGTGCATTGAATCTGTTCTTAAGATGTTCTTGAAATTCAGGTGAGCTATACTTAACATCATACTTTGGCCTTGTGGACGTATTTTAATTTTCTTCACCTTCAACCTGAACTTACATAGGAGCAATTGATTATCTGTTCCACAGTCAACCTCTGGCCTTGTTTTAATTGGTGAAATTTAGCTTTTTCATTATCTGTTCCCATAAATGTGGTCATTTTCTGTGTATTCCACCTGGAAAAATTCACATGTCTAGTCGCTATTTGTGTTGCTGAAAAAGGTATTTGTGACGAAGTCATTGGTTTTGCAAAGTTGTGTCATGCAGATCTCCAGCTTCATTTCTATTATCAAGGTCATATTTTTCGACTACTTATTTTCCTTGTAGCTTCCAGATTTTGCATTTACCAATAATTATCAATGCAATAGAGAGGTTATTTTTTTCTGCATAGATTGATTTTTATACCCAGGAAATTAATGGAGAGCTTCAAAAAAGTCATGGAAACTTGAATCAATAGGTAAAAATTTTAAAATAATGGGATTTTCCCGCTAACTTTTGGAAACTCTTTTATATATGTCAAAATAAACCCCCGATCCAAAGTTACCACCATCAAGTTGATTTCAACTCAAAGTGACCCTATAGGACAGCATTGAATCGCCCCTGTGAGTTTCCAAGACTGTAATTGTAACTTTCTATGGGAGTAGAAAGCTTCGTCTTTTTGCCAAAGAGTGGCTAGTGGTTTCAGATTGCTTTCTTTGTGGTTAGCGGCCCAACACGTACCCCACTATGCCATCAGGGCTCCTTGTTTAGATCGCTATGTCCAATAACATATGCAGCTCTGGTGTTGCAGTGGCTATGTGTTTGGCTGCAACTGAAAGATTGGCAATTCCAAGTCTACCATCAACTCAGAGAGAAAGAGGTGGCAAAATCTGCATCCATTAATATTTACCATCTTGGAAACCCTATGGTTCAGTTCTGCTCTTTTTTCTAGGAGTCAGATTCAACTCAACAGCAGTGGATTTTAATTTTGGTCTATATCCAACAGGGTGTCCCTGAGTAGTATAGATGGTTAATGCAATTTACTTCTCGTCAAAAGGTTGGTGGTGTGAATCCACCCAGAGACACCTCAGATGAAAGGACCAACAGTCTACTTCTGATTCTGTTTCTGAAATAACAGCCATCCAAATCTCTAGGGAGCATAATTCTACTTTGACACACATGGGATTGTCCAGAGTTGGAATGGATTTGTGGGCAACTAGTTGGATTTACTGTGGTTATGCTCAACAGATAGTTGGAAATGATCAAGCTCAAACCAAACCCAGTACCATTGAGTTGATGCTGACTTATAGTGACCCTATCTATACAGTGTTTCAGAGACTATAAATCTTATGGACTCAGTTAGCCTCATCTTTTCCCCAGGTAGCCACTGGTGGTTTTGAACCACTGACCTTGTTGTTAGCAATCCAACGTATATCCAACAGCCACCAGGGCTCCATGGTTGAGAATGCCTATCTTTCTATCTCACTGCTGTGGAGTTGGGTTGGACTAATAGCGACCCTATAGCACAGTAGAACTTCCTCCATGAACTTCTGAGACTAACTCTTTATGGCAGGGGTCCTCAAACTTTTAAACGGGGCCAGTTCACTGTCTCTCAGACCGTTGAAGGGCCGGACTATAGTTTTAAAAAAACTATGTTTTTGTTTTTTTTTTAACACCTGCCAGGCCGGATAAATGTCCTCGGTGGGCCACATGTGACCCGCAGGCCTTAGTTTGAGGACCCCTGATTTATGGGAATAGAAAACCTCATGTTTCTTCCACAGAGAGGCTGGTGGTTTTGAACTGTTGGCCTTTCAGATAACAGCTCAAAGCATAACCGATTATGCCACTAAGGCTTCTACTTGGGAATGTAGCATCAATTTAATTAGAGCTGTAATGAGCCCAAGAACTAGTGTCAGAAATTTGAAAGTTATCTGAACAAAGCTAACACTTGAGGTAGAGGAGTCTTTTGATAGCAGAGAAAGCATTTTCCTTTACTGTTCTAATAAATGAGGTCTATTCTAATCTTTCCTACCACTTCCCCCAACAAAAACAGGTGTTCACTTACACATACATAGTTATTTTATCTTCAGGAAAATGGCTTTTCAAATGAGATATCTCTCAAGTGTCCCAAGAAATTTCCAAAGTTTGTGGGAAAATGGCATCAAATGATAATGGAACTTTTTCAAGAACTTTTTGAAGACTCCTTGTATTTCTCAGCACTCTTGTTCACCTTACAGAGTCTCTTTGAGTAATCACATTTAGGGTCAGAGCGTCATGTATTCAGTCATGTTTATGACTCCCAACTCTATGTCCCTACAAGAAAGTTTTTTTGTTTTTTTTAATCATTTCAGCCTACAAGAAAATATTTTGAGGAGTTGTCAGGATCAGATAGCCAACTGAACCTGCAATGCTCCTCAAACTGTCATATCTGACCCTGGACAATTTATCCTAATTTTCAGACCTGCTTTTCTACCTCCGTTCCTTTTGTCATTTAACGGTCATCACTATCAAACAAAAAACCTGGGAGTTTTCTTATTTAATCAGCAACTAAATGCTATTGACTTCCTACTAAGTAATTTCAAAATCCATTCCCTGTGTGAGTTTGGTCCCCAGTGAAACTGCCTTAAAGCAAAACCCAACAAAACCCCAAACCTACTGCCACTGAGTCCGTTGTGATTGATAACAACCCTAATGGGCAGAGTAGGGTATCAAATTCCTATCTTGGGGTTGGCAGCCAAGCACTTTAATCCCGCTGCCCCTGGGGCTCCTTCGTGACACTGCCTTAGCATGCCATGATTTTTCTCTGACGTTTAACTCATCACCTTGTTCTCATCATCTACTCATGATTTTTAAGTCTCTGTACGTCAACCCCCCCAGCCTTATATTTTTACCAAAGCATTATTTCCAAAAAAGTAAATTACTATTCAAATGTCTAAGAACTTTGATTCCTCACTCACTCACTGCCGATAGAAAATGATTTAGTCCCTACAGACCTTCATCTTTTCTTCTCTGGCTAGTGTTCATACGCACACATCCTTAGTCTTACCAGACTTAATAGTTCTTTGAACATAGTGTGATGTACCAGGTCTCTCTGCCTTCCTGGTGGGGTGCTCTTCCCTCCTTTCTCCTCACCTGTAAACTTTGGAGATTTCTTTAAAATCTACTTATAAAGGACTACCCTGTGGAACTCTTCCTGGCCATACTCTAGGCAGAATTGTCCAGTTTTCCCATGGGCCACTACTACACCTTCATCTATACTTGTTATTTGTATTATAGCTTGTCTTTGTGCCTTTCTTTAAAAAAACAAAAACAAAAACTAGTTTAAGATCACAGAAGAGCTTCTGGTTGGTACATATGGCTAAGTGGTTCAACTACTAGCTGAATAGTTGGAAGTTCAAAAGCATCTACTGGTGCCTGGTGCCTCAGAAGACAGTCCTGGTGATTTAGCTTCCTAAAGGTCACAGCTCACACAGACTTATCATTAGTCGGACTTAATTCAATGGCAGTTAGCAAGAACAAAGTCAAAGAACTCAATGGCCAGCTGTGTGTGCCATGTGTTTATTTTTTCTCCAATAGTTTAAAGACTTTTCCTGCTATTTGAGGCTGGAGCAATAGGGATTTATTTCCAAATATACCTTAGTATGTACAATTATTCGTCTAAAAAGTCACATTGATATTTTTATGGCCACTTTTTTGTAGCTGTCACTTTATTGGGTGTACCAGCTTATAGTTGTAAACAAATGTCCTTTGCTACAGATAAGTAAAATAAAGTAAAAATTTATCTGATTAAAGTCTTCTGTAGGTCTTTAATAGAGTCATTTAAAGATTTAAAAATCTGATTTCTATTAGTTAGAAATATCGTCCTAAAATATGTGGTGATGGTTTAATTCTTATTTATTTTTGGTTGTCTTTTTAATATGTAGGGTGATCCTGATACTACAACAGTAAAAGTAGAGTTTGATGAAGAATTCAGTGGAACACCTATAGAAGGGACAGGAGAAGAGGTATTGACTCCATCAGCTCCCATGGTTAAAGGTCCAAAACCCAAAAGAGAGAAAAAGGAGCCTGGTAAGGAATTGTTATAAAGTTGCTTTTTGGTTTTTCTTTTGAGAAAAACTATGTAGAAGGTATTAGAGTTCTTTAAATTGGATTTTCCCTGTAGTACTTGAAATAAGACCTTCCATTTTCTTGAATATTTATTTTTATAATGAGTTATTCATTTTAACCCACCATGCCTTCATTTGAACAAGCACAGATGTATCCTCTCACAGTTTATGGTGCCAGCGTCTAAGTTAAGAGTGCCTCCTCTAGGTGGCGGTTTCACTTTCTGTTCGTCTTTGTCTTCTTGCAGTATCTGTAGACTAGGCATGCTTCTTGGCAGCAATCTTCCCTTTAATCTAGAAGTTTCAGTGCACAGGCCCCAAGGCCAAAGACTATACTCCACTCCTGGCTATTCTTTTTATTGTGAATTGGGTGAAGGATTGCAGAGCAGTTTTCAGTGAATACACATTTTGTTTTATCTCATTGATCTCAGTCCCCACAATGTAACATCACTTATTCTGCTGCTTCCATGTGGTTCCTTTCCCCCTTTCTTCTCCTTCCTAACCCTTCTAAGCTTTGTTCTTGGGTAAATGCTGTCTTTTTAATCTCAAATGATTGAGTTTTGAAGGTAAGTGCACTTCACTGGTAGTATTGTTCTCTTTATACACTTGTCTATTTTGTAGGTAAACATTGACTGACAATAGTGCATTCATTTCCAGACTTAAAGGATGACTAAGGGTCATAGTTGTAGGTCTTCCACCAGCTTTTATCTGACCAGTAAGCCTGGTGTCATTTATGGTTTTGAGTTTTGTTCCACATTTTTCTCCCATTCTGCCCAGGACTTTCTAATGTGATCCCTTTCTGAGCAGTTGGTGGTAACCTGGCACCCTGTAGTGCTTCTCTCTCAGGGTTGTGGAAACTGGTGATTTGTTTCAAATTAGTCCTTCAGTAGCTGGTCAGGAGCTTTTAAATCTCTACTACCTACTTAACCAAAGTTGGGTAAACATTGCCTTTGTGGACTAACTTCACTGCCATAGGCTTGATTCAAATTCACAGCACCCTCTATAGGGTTTCTGAGACTAAATTTTCTTGAGTACATAGCCTCATCTTTCTCTCATAGATCAGTGGTAGTTGGGGATGCCAACTCTGAAGTTAATGGCCCAACATCAAACCCGCAGCACCACCTAGCTTTGTGTCTATGCCATGCCAATTGACCTCAATGTCCCCTGAGACTATAATCCTTAGCCCCTAGGCTCAGCGACTCATTCCTTTAGGATATTTGGCTATATCTAAGAAGTTTTCATAACTTTGCCTCCATGTGTCTCTCCACTTTTATGGATATATTTGCTGCAAAAGTAAATGCACACTCAAACACCAAAGGCGGGGAGAAAAATCATATCCTCATCAATGAGGGTGGCGCGTGATGGGGACCCAATGCCCATCT